TTGGGAGGAAGTGATTGTTCTCGAATTGCAAGGGCTTTTTCATGAGTTAAAAGTGCTTCTTCATATTTTCCTTGAGCATCTTTGATTGAACCAACTTGATAATAAATATATGCCTTATCTTTGTTATCGTTGGATTGATCAAGTATATGTTGATAAATATCTTCAGCTTTTTTAAATTGACCCATATTGTATAGTACTGATCCCAGTCGATACCATCCTTCAGTATCTGGAAAGCTCTCTTTTCGGATGTAATCAGTAAGTCTGCTTAGTTCTGGATCGTTATCAGCAGTAAGTGTTAACTTAACTTCGTATAAAGGATTATTTTCATCCATCTGCTTAATATCCTGAATACGAAAAACGCTATGCATTGAAAATAAGACTTCCTTTTCTCTTTTCATAGCGCTGATGCTAGCAATGGAAGCAAAGGGTGTCGTTGATTGACTACAATTAATCTGCATGATAAAAAGAACTCCTACTTGATCTGAATTTATTATTGCATCTTGAGCAAAACCTAGTGAAACTTTGATGTTTTCACTAGTAGATAAGAAGTTGTTGAATGAAACAAGACCGCCTTTAGCTTGCATCATTTGTTCAAAATCTCCTTTAGTTAAACCTTGTCCACGATAAAGGATGAAGATGTCAGCAGCAGTTTTACCAGCATATTGTTTCTGGTATAGTTGTTCAATATTTCTATGCAGATCACCAATGAAGAAACCCATCCGTGTAATGATATCACCATCCATCAATCGTAATGCACGATTGAGCATGGGATAGAGGAACATGTCACAGGTGTACCAAAAAATTGGTGGTTCGTCGTAGTATTCATCTTCAAATTGTTTAATGTGAACCATTTCTTCTTCATCATCACCGAAAACATCGCGACAGTAATTAATATAATCTTGAATGTTCTTTTGTTTGAACTTTATGCTCAATAATATTTCTTTGATGAGTTGTGTATACATAAAAGAAGGATCTAATTGATCCAACTTTTTATTTGATTCAACGAAACTCATGGAAATGGCATTTTGCTCACATTGATGAGCTGCCGATTTGAGTGCTTCACAGATGGATGTAATATCTGTGAAGATACCCTTTATTTTAGGCCATTCTTTGATCCATTGTTCATGATAGTTTTGGTTTTCACAAAAAATAAAAATTGAATCAATTTGAGATATATTGTGTACACGAGGTACAACATGTTGTCCAAGTGATCCAGATAGAATCATACATGCCTTTTTGTTAATGATTGTTTGAATGAATTCGAAACATTTATCACTATCTGTAAATGTATTGATCTCGTTGATAGCGCGTCGCAGTTGTTTGATTGTATTTTTGCAAGCATCATTTGTCTCGTCAATGTTACTGTCTAACCAGATAAGAAGAACATTTTGCATTTGTTGAATATTGATACGTCGACGACCTTCTGCATCTTCTGGGAATGGGTATTTATTTATTGCGTCATTAGATTCATTAGTTGCTGTTGATTTTCTGCTATTCATCATTGACTGTGTGGATGCTTTAGATTCAAGTTATTATGCAAAATTTACTAGTTACATAATGATTAAAACCGGTTCTTTTTTTTAGTATCTACTTTATTTCGAAATTTTTTTCTCCACCTCGTGATAATGTGATTATGAAAAACAACTAATGAAGAACGAAAAAAACACACTCATGAAATATTGTCATGGTTGACTAACAATAGCAGTAGCTTACGAAAAGTAAATGTTTGATTTGCTTTAACGGAGAAAAAATGTGTTGAGTCATGTTTGTTATTTGAAAATCGCAAGTGAAAAAAAGCATTAATATTGGTAAATGTTTAAACTGGCTTTTATCTTTCTTTTTGTTATATTCTCTCAGTTGAAAGTTTGTAAATGACCATTAAGTAGATAACTAAAATGAATTTGTAAAAAAAGTGCATTCATCATCAACAAATGACGAAAAAGACTTAATCATGCATCATTTTCTATTAATCTTGAGAGTGTCAGCGAAAAAGAGTCCTTACCACCCACATCCATAGTCACACCTTCAAGATGTCTATGCAGCGATTTGCTACGAAGAAAAAAGTGGATGTAAATATCTATCGTTAAACACTCCTTTTAGATTGTGTTTCACAAAATTAAAGTATGTTCATATATCAATAATAAGTCTTCGATATCTATTATTATGATAGTTCTAGATACAATTGAATTACATATAATTTGATTTAAGATACGAAATACTCAGATAATATGTTGTATCAAATTCAATTTTAATAAGTTGTATACGCATTGCGAGTAATTCGTAGAACAATAAATTAAACGAATTGATTTAAAATGATATAAATATCATATTAAATGATTTGTTTATAAACCAACAAAATAAAGAGATAACCTCTTTAGACCAATAACCGATTTTAAAGAAGCAAAACGAAAAAAAAGAAAAATAACACATGTTTTATAAACATATATTGCTATTTATTGTAGTTCTGATTTTAAAGTAAATGATTATTTTCGTCGTTCAAGTTTTAAAAAAACACTAGGTCAATTATGGATTAGGCTAGAAATATTTAGGTAATTTTACTTTTTAACATTTGAAACTCTTTATTTCGACAAAATAGTTTTTTTCTTTCAATGCGCAGATAGTGAAATTGGAAATTTCTTATGCTTTCAGTGATATGATTCTATACTTTTTTGTTTAATAAATTAAAGATTAATTCTGAACTTAGATTTAAATGTCTTTTACAATAGTAGATAAGATTCTCATTGCATCTATTTCAACGAAAGATATTCTCTTCGTTAAACTAGTTAAAAAAGATGAAATGTTTTTAGTAGATATTAAGATAACATGCTCTTTTATGAAAAACAATAATCATCAGATAGCTCATTGATCTATCTTGTCTTACAAAATTCCGGAACTTCTAAGTTAAACCAACATTGAATTATATATAGTTTTATTTTTATTTTTTCGAAAAGTTGCTCTGACAAATCAGTGTTTCCACTAATCTACACAATTTTGTCATCAGAGAGCTTTTTTTTATAATTCAATATCAATCAAGAAACAAACATATCTAAACTAAAAACAAATCTACTACAAAAGTTCTTGAAGAAAAAAAACAGAAAACGGCTCAAAGATAAACTAGTAAACTATATGTAAACTAATGACTAGATGTCGATATAGATATATATGTGTGCAAAAATAACCAAACCAAATTTTAAATGAACAAACAGTACAAAATAAAATAAGCTATTAGTGTGTAATCATATATTTTTACAGATCGGAATCATATTGAGAAGAAATTGGTGATAATGATGGTGATCTTGTCGATTTACGTTTTTTTGCTGAGTGATTCGGTGTTGATTGAAATGAATCTTCGGTTGCTTCTGTATACATAGATGTATTATTAGAAGATAGACGAATTAATAAGTCCTTATGATATAATTCTTGATTTTTTATTAAGAGATCAAACTTTTCTTCCATTATATCAATCAATTGATGTTTGGTATGTTCTAAATCCATTTTTAAAGCAGCTATTTCAATTTCTTTTGCTTGTTTATATTCATAAAATTGTTCTTCGAGATGTTCATATTGAGCACTAGAATAATTACAATCAATTCTACCTTCTTGTTCATCATCATCATCATCATCATCACTATTCCATTCTCGTTTGATTGATGTATTTCGGCCAAGTGTTTCAATATTTGAATGTGTCATTGATTCTGTCGATGATGTTCTACTAATTCGAAAAGATTGTCCAGAATTTGTAGTAAGTCGTTGACGATGATTGGAACATATATGATGATTTTCTGAATTATCTTGTTGTTCTGATGGAAAAAATTTAGTTACTGATATTTCTTTATCACGAATATAATGTGGTCGAGCAAGTAAAACACGATCAACATCATCATAATCATCAAAATCAATATAATCATTTTCAATATCAATTTTTTTAACATTACCATATTTTTGAAAATAATTTTGTAAAAGATTTTTATTATATTTAGATAAATCGTGTGAAATCAATCGATTAGTAGTAATAAGTCTTTCAGCGATAGTTGATGCTGAACGTGGTAATGTTCGTTTAACAAATATTTCTTCACCATCTATAGAATGTGGTCGATGAGACATAAATTGTGATATACTACGTGGAAATTGAAAAGTAACAAAAGCAAAACAATGATAAAGATCATTGTCTTTGTTTCGATTTACCGATAATTCTATTAACGATCCATATTGTTCACAATATGTACGTAATACGTCAGTAGATATATTACATAAATTTCCAATAAATACTTGAAGATCACCCATTATTTTCACTAAATATGTTTACACAATAATATGATTTCTTGGTAGCTTGTGATAAGCTAATTTATTCGATAGTATGTGAAGCACGATATCTACTATGTCTTTATACATGTTACTATTTCTTCTTATTCTTTCGATATGATATATACAACGACAAAACACATATGGTGATCCATACACTATCGAGAAAAGTTGCTTATTACAACTTACTAAGAGGTAAATGATCTCTTCTGATCAAAGACATGTTGCGATGACGAAATTGTGCGGATTAGTGGTAACACTAGTCTGCCAGAGCAACACCTTTTTTTATTAAACGAAAAAAAAATAAACAAATATTGCAATATAATGCAGAAATCTGCCCCATGATCTATGTAATATCTTATATAATTCTTGTACAATATTTATGGTGAAGAAATTATATGTACTATAATGTCGTAAGTTAAAGTAAAATACATTCTCTTTTCTTTTATAGAAAAATGAAATGTGTATGAACAGAGAAAAGAAAAGAAGATCGAATTTGTCTATTTAGTTATCGCTTCTCGGCCTTTTCGGCTAAGATCAAAGTGTAG